GGGGGGGGGGGGGGGGGGGGGGGGGGGAAATCACATCGCATTCCCCAAAAGAGTTTACAATTTTGCTGGTTTCCCCAGGAGTAGGACATCCCTGTCAGAGAAGGAGTCCTGGAAGTCCTTATCGCATCATGCTGATGAGGTTCCAGAAGCCTTTAAAAACTTGTCTCTTCTCCCAGGTCTTGCGGTAGGGGCTTGTGAAGCCCATGGTTGTTTTTGGTATATGGGATGTGGTTGTCTGGATGCACTGGATTTTCTCTTTACTATTTTCTCCCAGAGTTATTCTGGAGTCAGGCAGCCTGTAAATCTAATCAATCATCATCTCCTTGCTGTCGGTTAGGGGTTGGGTGTTGAGTTACTCTGAAGTTCCCAACTTCTTGAGTTGGTAGACATACTTGGGATTTTGAATAGAGAGAGAAGAGACACAAAAATGGCTGCCGTGCTAGGTGGGTGTGGCCATGAAACTGTAAATTACCAAACGGGAAACAGGTGTGACTGCTCCCCACACCATCCCAACTTAGGTTTAATATTTATCTGGAAACTTAAATATTTCCAAATAAAGCACTGGCCTGTAGCCTCTGGCTATTTTTTAAAATTTCATTTCATTTCATTTTTAAGAGCACCTCTAAGACTGATGGAAATTAGAAGTAAAGATAATGCTGCAAGCTGATGCTTTGTTGCGGGTCACCTTCCCACTTATTGTTTTAAATGAAAATAATCTTTCTTTTGAAGCCAGATGGGCAGAAAGCTGAAAGGCAGGGGTCTCCGCAGGGGATGGTAAAAAAAAGCCAAGAGAGTACCCACGATGATGCAATCGAAGCTTTGGCCCTTTCTAAATGTGTGCTGCACGTAAAAAATGGGCAGAGCTTCAACTGCACCATGACCGCCATCTTGATTTTTTTAACCACACCTTACGGACGCTCCTGCTGAAAGGCTATGAGGTAGACCAGATCAGAAAAGTGACTCAGACTAGAACTAAAGTTTATTATTAAGATAGACTACCATAACAGAAACTGGCAAGCCTGGTTATGTTTCCCCTTCTTCTTATACTCCAGGGAGTCAAGGAAGAGCCAGTCTGAGTCTCTTTCCCTTCTCCCTCAGGTCAAAGCATGCACATTTTTATTTTTTTTATTTTTGGTAATGGTTTCTGAACAGTTTCTCCCAGATCATCTCCATGGTTTCCTACACTTTGCTCCTGGGCATTCTACTGGGGAATTCCAGAATAGATTCTAGAAAACATAGAATATATTCTATATTCTGTGTTCCAGGGATCCATATCAGGGATGAGGAATAAACTAGACATAGACCTATGGATCCCAGTTTTCAGAGAAACCTTAGCCCTGCCTGTTAAGGTGAACTGGTAGGCAGCCTTGAGTAATGGTGCTGAAGCCAGTCCAGTACTTAGGGGCTTATTACCATTCAGAGGGAGTACCTCAAGCTGCAGCTTTGGTGGCTCACTGGCTCACAAACTCTGAAGAAAATTGGGGGAATCACGGTTTGAGCCCCAGCAGCTTTTTTAAACTGTCAAAATGGTACCAAGTTTCTTTACTACAGATAAACAACTTCTGACCCAGAGACCTAATCTGGCCTGCAGAGGTTCAATGGAGGCCTCTCCTGTTGGATAACTGGTGATGAGGTTTTGTGTTGTGAACACCCCCAGCTCCTCTGGGGCTGTTCCTTGATTTTCTTGAGTACAAGAGCTTCCATTTGACTGAAAGAGGTAGATACAAAAAGGAAAGGATTTGGAAGAGGAGGCTTCTCTTTCCGAAAAGCTTACTGTTCCCTCCCTCCATCTCTGATGTCATCTGGCTTACAGAGGCTTTGGATAAATTAGTTTGTCCAATGGATTGGTTCCCAGCCTGTTTTAGTCTATGGGTTAAAAATACTGCGCCGTAGATTCAGCTGTCATGTTGATAACATAACATAAAAAGAAGAAAGGAAAAGAGGAAGATCTAGGTCACAATAACGGAAGAGTCACCTTTTAAACCAAGAACGTGAAACAACTCAGGAATCAATTAAATGCCAGGAGGACTAGGCTCTATTGTTATGGATAGCCTACCCAAGGAAAGGGCAAAATGGGTATGCATCAGAGAGCTTACTAGTCCTCTTTGATAGATGTGTTCTGCCAAGCTCACATATTGCCTAGTGGGAGAATATAGCTGTGCTTCTTGATGAATGGGAAATAGAATCATGATTGTTGCCATGAGACCAATTCATCAACATGCCCTCATTACAGGCCAGCCTACAGGATGATCTGCTTTTTCAGTGGATCTTCCTGCCAAATTGCTAGCAGTTTAAGATTGCATCGAACTACTCTGAAGGGAATGGAGAGCTACAGTAGATGGCAGAAGGAAGCAGTGCTGAAGGGAGGGGGAAAAGAAACAGTATTTGCAGAACCGCTTAACAAAGTAAGTCCAAGACTTAGTGGATGCATTGACACGCAACATGCTAAGCTTGGGAAAGTTAACTTCGTTAGCTGTGAGGGGACATACAAGCTGTGCAGACCTATATAGTTTACTTAGGTTCATGCATTAGCCATGTCACCCACTGCTTTAAGCCATGTTTTGTTTAATCCTAGTTTATAGAAAAAACACAACTATCTAGG